TTTCCCAGGCGTGCTTCCTTTTCCTCTCAGCAGGCAGGGCGAATCCTCTCTCTTCCGAAGCTCTGGCCAGGCTTGCTCAGGGCTCCTGCTTCTGCCAGTCAGACTGCCAGGAGGGAGTGACAGGGAAGGAAAAGGGCGGAAGTTTCCCCTCAAGTCTGGAGATTGTGGAGGAGAGCAAATAATATCTGTATTGTAAGTTGTAATGAAAATATTAGACTCACTAGTAATGCTCAGTAATGATGCTAGTAGAAAGTTTAGCCCAGCATTGGATATTAGCTTAATTTGTAAGCTATTTTATAAATGCTGCTACCATTACTTGTTCTCCAAGTTTAAAAACAACACTTCTAAAATTCTGATTATGTGGTAGAATGTGGATCCTACCAGGAAATGACAAATTCTTTAGAAAGATGTGCTTGCATTTATTACGTGGGTTTATATTTTATACCTTTTTATGATACTTAACTGCTGCTATTGATCATTATGATGAAACAAAATCACTGGGGTTCTGAATACCTTTGACAGAAAATACTTGAATTCTGAATACTTTTTACTTACTCATAGAAATCTTAGATCTGAAAAGAATTTTTAAATTCACCTAGTTGCATATATCTTAATTTTACCTATTTGGAAAGTGAGACCTAGAAAATTGAGTAATTTTTTCAAATATCTCAGGTGGTTGTAGATTTAGAACTGGTCTTCTGCTTTTGGATTGGAGTGGTTTCTATGATTAGTTTGATGTCTTATTTCTACAAAAGCTCTATATTTTTTGGTATAAAAAGCATTGGTGATATTGCAAATACTAAAAACATGATTACTTAAAATAGTTATCAGAACAAATAACTTGATAGTATAGTCCTAACGATTCTCAGGAAAGGGGAGGTTGGAATGTAAACTGGAAGCACAGAGGAATCGTCTTTGGGCTGAACCTGAAGGGCATTGCACGAAGAATGAATGCCGGACATTTCTGGGATTTTTTGTCTGCTTAGGTTGTAAACATTCATGAAAGGAAGCTTGCCTCAATATTTCCCTTAATTTAATATGTGAGACTTCACAGTCCCCTGTGGCTTCCTTTCTTTTCAAATGAAACAAAATTCTTTGTGTAGAGAAAGAATAAGAATACTGGTGGGAAGTTGTGTGTGTGTATTTATACACATACAGAAATGTATATGTTATATGTTACTATATATAATCCATATTTTATATATATAATCCATCTCTGTATGTAAAATTGAGTATGTAATGCATTCAAATTTATGAAAGTATAAAAGGGTCTACGTTGGGGGAATCTCCCTCCCACTTCGGCCGTCCCAGCAAGAAATCCTCACCCAGAAAGAACCACTCTTCCCAGTTTCTTGTATAACCTTCCAGAGATAATCTATTTCTATTTAAACAATTATGTAAATATTTATTTAAAAATACAAAAACTGTATACATTGTTTCTGTACCTAGCTATAAAAAAAAAAATACAATAGTCCTGGCCAGTTTGGCTCAGTGGTTAGGTCGGCCTGCAGTCCGGAGAGACCTGGGTTCAGTTCCCACTAAGGGCACGTACCTCGGTTGCAGTTTATCTCCGGTCCTGGTTGGGTTGTGCAGGTGGCAGCCACTCGATGTGTCCCTTTCACGTCGATGTTTCTCTCTCTCTCTCTCTCTCTTCCTCTCTCCCTTCCACTCTATCTGAACAAAATAAAGAAAAAGAAAAAAAAATACAATATATCTTGGCGATTGCTCCATTTCAGCACATACAAAGCTGCTTTATTCATTTTAATGGCAGCATGGTAGCATTCTGTTCTGGAATATAATGTTTACTATTACATTCCATCACATGACATACATTTTTTTACAGTCCTATTTTATTTTTGTTTTATTTGTGATATTTACTAATGGTATACAACCAGATCTCCACTGATATTTAACTTGCTTTCTATCTTTTGCTGTTTCAAACTGTGTTTAAAAATGCCCTTTACGCATGTATGAGTTTATCTGTAGATGAGAAAGATTGCCAGGTTGCAGTAATTTTGATAGATGTTGCTAAAATTCTTCATTTATATCACCATGGCCTCAGCATTACAATGTGTTCATCAGACTTTTTTAAATTACCAGTCTAGTAAGTGAAAAATATTTGCCCAGATAGTCCTAATTTGAGTGAAGATCTGATCTTTTTTTTTTTTTTTTATGTGTTTAAGACCTTTTCTGCAAGCCATTTGTTCATCTCTCTTCTTTCTTGTATTATTATCATTTTTTGGTTTACAATCTTATTATTATTGACAGTAAAAACTTCTTATATGTACAGAAAATTAACCTATTTGGTTTATGAACTGGGGGGCTTCTCACCTTCTCCCCAGTGCCTCGATTGTCATTTGTGTTTTTGGTGGCATTTTTGTTTTAAAATGCCATAAATTTTGTTTTTGATGTGTCAACTGAACTTGCTTTATGCCACTCATAGGCCATAAACACATTCCCATGTACTGCCTAGTGCTCTTATGGTCACTTTTTACACACGGTCATTTGATTCATCTAGAATCCATTCGCAGGGTGAAATAGGTGTTTATTTGTTTGTTTCAGATGGCTATCCAGTTTTCTCTGACTGTTCACTTACCTTACACCTTTTTCCTGTTGATTTGCGATGCCACCTTTATTGCATACTAGATTTCCATGTGTCTGCATCTGTCACCTAGATCCCATCTTTGTGACTTGTTCCATTGACCTTCCTGTCTGTCCACCACACTACTTTAGACTGTTTTTAACATCCAGGTGAGCTGGTTTCCCTCGGAGCTCTTCTGCTTTGAGGGGTACCATGCTACTTCACGCTGTTGTTTCACCATGTAGGCTTTAGAGTCAACTAGTATAATAACCTAAACAAATTTAGAAAATGTATCCTAGAAGTATTTTTTTAAATTAGGAGACTTGACACCTTTTTGATGTTTTCTTCTTTTTTAAAATCATGAAATATCTTTTCAACTGTTTTAACTTTTCTTTTGTGTTGTTTAGTAGCACTGTAAAGTTATAAACTGTGCATATGTCAAGATTTTACAGGTGTTTTACCCTTTTGTTATAATAATTAGGTCTTTTCTGTTGTACTGTTTTTGCTAGTTTGTGTGTGAAGACTGTCAGTTCAGTATATTAAGTTCCTATCCTGTACCTTTTTTAACATTTGTAATAGTTTTCCTGTTAATATTTTTGGATTTTCCAGGAAAACAATCATATTTTCTGTAAATGATAATTCTTTTTCTTTCCAATTTCAGTTTCTCCTTCCTTTTCTTACCTTGTGTCATTAACTAGTACCTCCTGAATAATAGTAAATAGTAACAGTTGTAGTGATGTCTTGTCTTGACTTTATTGCTAACATTTCTAGTCATTCATGATTTTGTAACAAATAAAAGCATAATCTCTCTCTCTCACTTATGTTTGTAAATTATGTAAGGAAACGGTCAACTGTTCTCCTTTTATTAAGCAATTAAGAATGAATATAAATGTTTTAAAACTGATATATGTGCTCAATGCATTACTTGGTAAAATTACTAGAGATCACTGAATTGTACACTTGAAGTAGGTCAATTATATGATATATAAAACAATGAAGTTGTTTTATAAAAATAATATTTTATCCTCTACCTTTTAGTATCTATAGAGATGATCTTGTACCATTGCACTTTTACTCTGTTTATATGGTGAATTGTTTAAATAATACAAAATCCTTATATTTCTAGTGTAAATCCCACTCAGTCATAGTATGCTAATCTTTTTATTTAGTGTTCAATTCTGTATGCTAATTTTTAAATTTAGTATTTACATCAGTACTTAAAAGGAATACTCATGTAATTTCTCTTTTGTGTACTTTCTTTATTAGATAATGGCATCAGTATTGTACCTTACTGCTTATATAAGAATTTGGAAACTTTCCTTTTTTAAAAATATGGTTTGGAATAGTTCAAATATTATCAGAATCGTCCCTTTAGAAATTCTTAGAATTACCCTCTGAAGATATCTAGGCCTGTTTTTGTTTATTTTTGTATTTGTTGGGAGGACAGTCATGAAGGTAGCTCTTTGACTTTTATTTCATTATAGTATTGACCTATTTAAGTTTTCTGTGTGTTTTTTCTTTTTGGTATGGAGTGTGGTTCCTTAAGTATGTATTATGCATGTTATTTATTAAACATGTTCAAATTACACTGATTGAGTCCCTCCTAATTAAGGATGAGGTGATCTGTGCTGAGTGTGGTTTGTGAGAGTGGTGGCTCTCTTCTTATAGTCAGTGCTTTATGGTATTTGTCAGTGAATGTCTACCACTTCCAGATTTAGACGTTAAGGACTATTCTATATTTTTATAGTGAGATGGTGACATTATAAATCTTATGTGTGTTTATGTTGCTTGGGTATACCAAGAGGATGTTTGGCCAAGAGAACCCAGTTTTACTGCAGGTCATGTGGCAGATAGAGTGTTGGTCCTTAATGGATACAGCTGATTCATCTTCTTATACGTTTTAGGTACTCAGTAATCCTAGTGAATGAAATATTGTTTAACATCGACTATGTGTTTGCTTGGGGAAGATATACAAGTCATATTCTGAGAGAAAATACATGTTATAAATGCAAAATTCAATCAAAGAAATTAAGTGGTGTTGTCAATATATGTATTTAGATATACAAAAGAATACAGTTTTACATACTTGTCTAGGGGAGAATAACTTTAAAATAATTTTCAGATAGATTGAAAAGTAAATGTTGATTCAGTTACTCTTCTTTCTGGCCTGAATTTACAAATTAATATAGAGAGCTAAAACTGTTTCAGCAGTATATTAGTTTTTCCATATGACTTGGACTAATATGCTAATAAGTGGAGATCACATCATATTAACAGCTGTGCAAAAAATTATAGTGTTGGTCTACGTGTAGGTTATGATTATTTTAAAACATGTTAAGAAAAATGTATAATGGTCGATAAAATTGTATTGGGTTATGTTGAAGATTTATTAACAAAATATTCTTTCCTTTTCTCATAGATTTATCTAAAAACAGACTGGTTGAAGTTCCAATGGAATTGTGCCACTTTGTATCACTGGAAATTCTTAATCTGTATCATAATTGTATCAGAGTCATTCCTGAGGCCATCGTTAATCTGCAGATGCTGACTTACTTAAACTTGAGGTAGGTTAACTATAACGGTTGTAATAAAATTCAAATAAAATATGCTTTTATTTCTATCATTTTTTTCTTTTTGTAGTTGCTGATCACCCTTTGAAGTAAATGACACAAAGATTATTTAAGAAATATCTTTTTTTTTTTTTATCCTCACCTGAGGACATTTTTGCATCCATCTTCAGATAGAGTGGGAAGGAGAGAGGGAGGAAGAGAGAGAGAGAGAAACATTGATGCAAGAGAGACACACATCAAGTGGTTGCCACCCACACGACCCCAACCGGGGCCAGGGACAAACTGAAACCGAGGTACACGCCCCTAGCGGGAACCGAACCCAGGTCTCTCTGGTCCACAGGCCAATCCTCCAACCGCTGAGCCAAACCGGTCAGGGCTAAGAAATATCTCATAATACACTTGTAGTGCCATTAATATTGTATTTGGTCCTGGATATTTCTGAATGTCAGTATGACAAGATGTTTTTGCTTTTTAAAAATTATTTATATGGCATCATTTATACCTTTTGTCTCTTTTTTATGTTTTTATTGCTTTTAGACAGAGAAGGGGGGAGAGAAAGAGAAAGTGAATGAGAGAAACATTGATTGGCTGCCTCCTGCTCTCCCCCTACGGAGGCAACCTGGGCATGTGCCCTGACCAAGAATCAAACTAGTGTGCATGGCACTATGCTCAACCAACCGAGCCACATCAGCGAGGCTACTTTTTGTCTCTTTGGTACCTGGAAGGTGGTTGGTATATTGTCTACATGCATGGATGTAGATTTTGGAGGAGAAGGGTTACAGGAATTTAAAAATAACATGGAGGTTGGGACAAATTGGGGCCTTGATGGTCTTTGGGAGTTATTGATACCATTGTATTTGCTACCTAGTACTCACTGAGCTGGTTCACTTTAGGTCACCTGAGAAAGTTTAGCAGGAGCAGTGAGCAAATCTAGCAAGACATGAAGTTTGCTGTCTTTATAGCCCTTTAAATTAGTTCTGTGTTTATTGAGAATGGGTCAACAGTGTTGACTCTCTGTGCCACATATTCCCTTGAATGCCCTGAAGTTAAGAAAAGTAGCTCTTTTCTACATTGGTTTTAGACTTTGCTGCTGTGAGCGTCAACTGCTTTAGCTAGAGTTCAGCTCCTTGTTTTCTAACTCCTTGACTCACATTTGGGATGTCATGAGAGAGAGGGGAGCTGTTTTATCAAATCTGTTTGTACTGTAAAAACAAGGTTCCAAAGTTCAAGCCCGAGCATAGCCTCCCACTCCTTCACTCATGTCTGTCACTTATCTTGGTATGCAAAAGGATTGTTTTGTGTAACAAATGTGCCACGCTTTAAAATGCAAAATTCCCAATGAGCCAGGTGATGCATTAACTTATGAAAGATAATACTGTCAGTTCAGTTTTTGTTTTGTTTTTTTTTATTTATTTATTTATTTTATTTTATTTATCCTCACCCGAGGACATTTTTCCATTTTTTGTACAGATAGAGTGGGAGGGAGAGAGAGGAACAGAGAGAGAGAAACATCGACGTGAAAGGGACACATCGAGTGGCTGCCACCCGCACGACCAACCAGGGCCGGGGACAAACTGCAACCGAAGTACGCGCCCTTAGCGGGAACCGAACCCGGGTCTCTCCGGACCGCAGGCCGATGCTCTAACCGCTGAGCCAAACCGGCCAGGGCTCAGTTTTTGTTTTGTTATTGTTGTTGACCACTGAGAATTAGGGCTGCTGCTGTCTTTGCAGTAAAACATGGGGTTTCATTGCATGTCATTAGGAATGCATATCTTCTTCCTTGGAAGTGAAAAACAATCCTAGTTTTATATATGTAACTTTTTTGTTGTTGTTGATTTTGAGATAGAGTGGAAAGGAGGGAGGAAGGGAAAGAGAGAGAGAAACATCCATGTGACAGAGACACATTGATTGGTTGCCTCCTGCACGACCCAACAGGGGCCGGCGTTTGAACCTGCAACTCAGGTATGTGCTCTTGACCAGGAATTGAACCCCAAGCCCTTTGGTCTGTGGGCCAACGCTCTAACCACTGAGCCAAACTGGCCAGGGTGATACATACATAAAACTTTTTAATAAAATTTTTATTATGGAAAATGTCAAATTATGCAAAAAAATGTCAAACTTACCAAAAAAAAGAGGAAAGGGTAGTGTGATGAACCCCTATATACCCATCACCCAACTTTAACCATTGTCAACATTAGCTATTTTTATTAACTTTATCCTGCCCATTTTCCTTGTTTAAAATTTAATTTAAAAATATTAATTATTAAATATTCCAAACTTACAGAAAATAATAAAATAGATGTTCAAGTTCCCACCATTCCAATTTAATAGTGTAGAATTGTATGGTGCTTTTAAAACACACATAATGGCCTGGCCAGGGTGGCTCAGAGGATTGAGCATCCTCACATGGACTGAGAGGTCCCAGTTTGATTCCCTGTCAAGGCACATGCCCGGATTGTGGGCTCAATCCCCAGTAGAGGGCATGCAGGAGTCAGCTGATTGATGTTTCTCTTTCATATCATTGTTTTTATCTTTCTCTCTAAAAAGTCAATTAAAACATATTTAAAAAACATAAATGTTGTCACCCTGCACATAACCATTTGCAGTAATTTCCACTTAACAGATAGATATCAACATATTATATTTTTTTTATCAGCTGCTTCCCCCTCATTCCATACACACCATTGGTCCTGGGATCTTTATATTATCACACACACAAAAAGCTTCATACTACTCTAATAGCAACTCCTGGCAGTTATTTGCTTTCTAAAATTTTTTGAGTTTATATCCTAGGCCTAGTTTTGTTTTGTTTTTTAAGAATAAACACCTCATCCTGGCTGGTTTTGCTCAGTGGTTAGAGCATTGGCCTGCAGACCAATGAGTCACGGGTTCGATTTGGGGCACATACCTCGGTTGCGGTTCATCCCTGGTCCTGGTCTGGTCGTGCGGGATGCAACCAGTCAGTGTGGCTCTGTCGCATCAGTGTTTCTCTCTGTCTCTCTCTCCCTCCCTCCGTCCCACTCTGATAATAAATGAGAAAATATCCTTGGGTGAGGAATACAAAGTAAAAAAAAAAAAAAAAGAATAAACACCTCTGTTCCATGAGCTAAGACAGGCAGGAAAAGGACTTACTTGCCTTTCTGGGCCGTGGTTCTTCTCAGAACTCTAGCTCCTTGCCCTCTAGCACATGGCCATCTGCTTGGACTCATAGCCTGGTCTTGGAGCGATGCATGCAGGAAGCTCTCCTGCTGGAACTCCTCTGCAGACTGCTGATTGTGGCATTCTTTTTCCTTTCATCCAGTTTCTTCTGAATTTTCTTTGGTCATTTTGTTTAAAATCTCCTGCTCAGAAGTCAACTTGGCCCCCGTCTTGTGGCGCAGGGCAGTGCCTGGTGGGACTGGTACCACTGCCGGTGCGCTGTGCTCCCAGTGAGCACAGTGCGGTGTACTCGGGGCTTGGTGCGGGTCAGTTTGTTGTTGGATGCACTGCAGACATCAATAATACTTGTTTTTTGAGTACAACACTCTGAGCCCTAGGAGAAGTTGCCCACGTCCAGCCTCAAGGCTGGGTACTTCTTGTTGCCTCCCCGCGTGCAGACTGTGGATGCAGCAGGGGCCAATCTGAGTGCTGGCAGCAGGGCGTCCCAGCTCATATTAATGCTTCTTGCGGAGGCCTTTCTCTTGCCCCCAATCTTATGGCACTTGTACCAGTTGGACCGAGAAATGCCCATGGCTTGGCACCAGCTGGAAAGAGCCTTTCTTCAGTTTTTATGAAAACAACTTTATCAAGGTGTAACTTGTCCCCAGTTTTCTTTATAGATTCTTAAGAATTAAAAAGGAATTTAAATTTCCTGTGGGTATCTAATTTTCAAGAGCTCACAATGGGAAACTGGATCACTAAATTTTGTACAACCTAATAAAGCTAATTTTACTTTAAAGTAGGTATGAAATTGGCAGGTCTGAGTACAAAAGTATATCACTGTTTAAATGAAGATTTGATCTCTCATCCTCCCCCTTTCAATGAATTTGAATGTCACTGATACAGGCAAGGTTCTGCCCTTAATCTCATCCATCTTCTTTCTTCCCCAAAGGTGATCGCTATCCCATGTGTGATTGGTGTGTGTTATTCCCAAGTATATTTTGGACTTTTTCCACATAGTATGTATGCTTTCATAAATAATGTATGGTATTATTTAGTGCTTTAAAAACCTATATTAATGTTGTCACACTGCACATAACAGTGCAATAATTTTCACTTAACATGTTTTTAATGCCCCCAAAATTCATTTTATTAAATTTCAAAGCCTATACTTTTATTTCATTTCATTGTTTAATTTTTTATTTTTTATTTTTCAATTAATGTTGACGTGCAATATTATATTAGTTTCAGGTGTACACCCCACATAACTTACTAAGCTTTCATCCCAATAAATCTGGCACCATATATAGTTATTAGAATATTATTGACTGTATTCCCTGTGCTGCACTTTACATCCTCATGACTATTCTGTAATAACCAGTTGTACTTCTTAATCCCTTCACCTTTTTCACCCATCCCTCCAACCCCCTCCCATCTGGCAGTTGTCAAAAGGTTCTCTGTACCTATAAGTCTGTTTCTATTCTGCTTATTCATTTATTTTGATTTTTAGATTCAATTGTTGATATATATTTATTGCCATTTTATTGTTCATATTTTTCTTCTTCTTAAAGAAAACCCTTTAACATTTTATGTAATACTGATTTGGTGGTGATGAACTCCTTGAGCTTTTTCTTGTCTGGAAAGCTCTTTGTCTATCCTTCAATTCTAAATGATAGATTTGCTGTGTAGAATAATTCTGGTTGTAGGTCATTGCTTTTCATCACTTTGAATATTTCTTGCCACTCCCTTCTGGTCTGCAAAGTTTCTGTTGAGAAATCAGTTGACATTCTTATGGGAGCCCCCTCATAGGTAACTAACTGCTTTTCTCTTGCTGCTTTTAAGATTCTCTCTTTGTC